GGGCAGAGCTGGCGGGGATGTGAGTGCGGGGCCGGGCGGGGGTCCCCGGGGGCAGAGCTGGCGGGGATGTGAGTGCGGGGCCGGGCGGGGGTCCCTGGGGGCAGAGCTGGCGGGGATGTGAGTGCGGGGCCGGGGCCGCGGGCTCGGCTCAGCCGGTGCCGCCCCACCCGCCCCAGGTGCCAGCGACATCGAGCGGCTCCTGGCCGCGCTCTGCAGCCAGCGGGATGCTCTGGTGGAGGCCGCGAGGAAGCTGCTGACGGATGAGCGGGCTCCCCGCAGGCAGAAGCTGCTGGCAGATCTCATCCACAACCTAAGCGAAAACATCCTGGCCGAGGACAAGGAGGACGACAAGAAGTGGTTTGAAGGTGTGTCTGTGGCCACAGGGAGCTGCTGAGGGACCCCCGGGTCTTGCTCTGCTCAAAGTCATTTTTGTCAGTTTTACTGCTCTTAAAGAAGAATTGTTTAAAAGTTTGGGAGTGCTTCTGGCTGGTGGGATAAGGTACCTGGTCAGGGGACTAGTTATCCCTTCCAGTAGCACGTGTCTTTAGGTTTCTTTAAAATACGTGCATATTTATTATCACAAAGTGGTAAAGACAGTGTTTCCTATTGGTCTGTCCAAGATTTTTCCCCATTAATCTAGGTCTGCATTTATGATCTTTTAATGATTTGTTAGTAGTGTATCAATAACTAGCACAGCTTAGTCAGCTAACCTTGCTTTATGTTATCTTTACACTCTGCAAGGTCTCTCTCCCATTCCCAAGTCAGTGCTGCAGTTCTTCCCAAACAATTCTGTTCTCTTTTCACAATCTCTTAGTGTTCCACATATGCACGTTAACAAGAAATATTTAACAACCACAGTACCAGCCACTGCTCTCCCAGCAGATGCCGGTGTGGGGTCCCTTTCAGTGCTAAGGGCAGGGTAGTCCTGAACCAGTAAAATAAAAATGGGAAGGAAAAAAACCCTGTGCATCCCAAGCTAGTGAAAAGCTGGGATGGACGCCCAGTGGGGCAGGAGCAGTGCTGAGGTACAAAGCAATGTCGCTCCCTCCAGGGCTGGAGTCTCGGTTCAAGAACAAATCCAGCTACATGAGGCACAGCTGTGAGAGCAGAATGCGGGGCTACATGAGAGAGGTAAAAGTTTCCGTGGAAGTAACTTATTGTCAACAGTAATCCTGTGGCCACATGAATTTTTAAAAAACACTTTTACAGTACAACATTGTGATTGTAGAACAGAGCCTGAGGCTGCCACAGGAACCGAGGAGTGACTGTTGGGTTTCCCCCTCTAGGTTAGTGGTTTTATTTCAAACGTTCATCCTGCAGCAAGAGACGCCTACAGAGGGGTAATCGACCTGATGGCAGAGAAACTGAAATCTGTGAAGTATAACGGGTGCTACTTTGACAGAAGGGAGGAGGAGGAGGCAGCACGTCTGTGCACTGCGGAGGGGTGGTTCTCCTGTCAGGTATGTGCAGCCCTTCCCAAAGCAGAGTCATAGAATCATGGAATGGTTTGGGTTAGAAGGGACCTTAAAGATCATCTCATTCCACCCCTGGCCGTGGGTGACAAGTGTGACACCTTTCACTGCAGCCCTCTGGTTTCACAGGGACCTTTTGACAGAGATGACTGCCCGTGCAAGCATTCCATCAACCCCTACAGCAACAGGGAGAGCAGGATCCTCTTCAGCACCTGGAATCTCGATCACGTGTATGTACAAAGTGTTAATCCAGACTTACCTGATTCATGCCTTTCTGCTCCATCAGGAATGGTTTAGCCTTAGTCTTTACCCCCCTGCTCTGCTACGAATATTTTGTGAGAAAAGGTGCTGGGATGCTGCAGCTGTGCTGA